ACAGTCTGCATTCTTCAGAGCACTACCGGTTGATGTTGTCCGGTGCTAATACGAGAGGTGACAGGCATTACTACCTCGGTTCGCTTCCAGCCATCGAGACAACAGAGTCGAGCGGGGGTCTCATCGTGGATGCGAACAACGGTGCGGGCCCCGCCTCTTAGGCATGTGGAGCCGGCGATGCGGGGCTACGTACATGCTATCCCAATGCAGACAGCGTCTTCTGAACATCCTAACTAGTGGACGATCTGAACTGACTTCAATCGTTTGGGGAATACAAAGAGAAAAGCAAACATGATTGAATTTGATGACAGTTGTAAATGATATGCCGAAGCAAGCAAGCAAACATGCACTTTTTAAGTCCCAAGATACTAACCTCAAAACAAGCTAATTGTACAGGATATCAGATGTCCAATCCCAACCGGTGACCCCAGAGAATAAACCCATTCTCTTTGAAAAAGAAAACAACGCCAGATGCTCCTTGCGTTGCAATTCCCAAAAATGCTTCATCAACAGCCCCGCTGCACTAGGGCAAGCACACTTACTTCTCTTGTCTGGCAGGAAGAAGGGGTGGTCCAAATACGAACCCCCCAAAATCTACTCAAGCACAGCATCCGCCCAGCTGCGCAACCCTCCCTCTTCGTCAAGCACACGCGCCATGTCCTCCTTGGCAAGTCGTACCAAAATCTCAAACGGCGCCTCCGTGCCATTGACGAGCTGCCTGCGTCTAGGCAAGAAGATAATTCCGCCGTCGCTCGGCGCATACGTGCGCCTGATGAACTCGGGCCGACCGGCCAGTGAGTGCTTACCTTGATCAGTACCCGGGATGCCCCAGCTGAGGTCTGCACCAAAGTTTAACCAGCTCGAAATGTACATGTCCGATCCAAATGCCGAGCCTAGGGAAATCTCGGTATCGGTGATTTGCGCGATCGACTTGAAGAATTTGAGATGGCGTGACACCCACGTGTCGTCGACGCCGAGGATGGCGGTTTGGATTTCTGTGATGACACGGATGATGGTGGGGAGAGTCACCCTGGTAAGCAGGTCAGCCAGAGTCTTTTTTTCTTTTTCTTTCCTCTTTCAATGCAAAGGAGCAAACTTTTCTTCCTTGGGTATTGGGTTCACAAAGTGTAACGTAGAAGAAAAAAAGAGGTGAAACAAGGCGATCGCAGGGGGTGGATGGAGAAGGAAGGAAGAGCAAACTCACCGGTTTTCGATCAACAAGTCTGAAACGTTGAGAGTGGCTTTTGAAAATAGGGCCATGTTACCCGTGTAATCCGCGGGGACGCAAGGATTCTGGCGTTTGCGTAGATCGGTGGCGATGCCGAGGTTGGTCTCGTTCAGACCATGCTGCAGCAGTCGGTCTCCTCTGGCTCGCGTGACGTGCGTCCATACCAGCGCAGCGAGCACATTGCACATTGTCGGCGTGCTGTCTGGTGGGAAGTGAGGCCGCAACATGTCCTGGTACCTGCGTATGCGGGCGACTGGGATTACAAAAAGACGTTGAGCGCAAGCGGTGTCGGCGGGTAATGTCCTGCGATATGTGGGTGGCCCATCGCAGTAGCAATCTGCAGCAGCGCCACCACCACCACCTGTTTGCTGTGGGTTAATGTGCCAATCAACCGCTTGCCGTAATCGCGATTGCCGGTCAGCAACGCTTATTGTATCTGGTCATTTGTCAGTTTTGGTTGGGGGCAATTTTGGGGATCCAAGTAAAAAAGTACCAAAGATTTTGCTGTCACTTATCAGGTATTGGCGCGGAAGATTGGTCACGTTTGTTGAAAGGGTTTCCCAGAAAAGGTTGATGCCGGAAAAGTCGGATACGCTGTGGTGCATGTAGGTAGAAAGGACCAATCCGCCTGGGATGAAGAATGCTTGACATCGCATCGCGGGCGCGTCGCTCTTTTCAAAATCGACTTTGCCTTCGCCGTCTTTGGGGACACCGGGGTAGTTTGCAAGATCTTCGGGGACAAACATGGAACCTTTGAAAGCACTGGGTGGCATGCCGTCTCGCTTGAGTTGCTCGTATGTGTAAGGGAAGTCACGCTCATGGAAAGGGATTTGCTTTGATCGGAATATGCAATTCAGCTCTTCGTCGGATACTTCAATTGGATATTCCAGAGCGAGCCTCCCCGTGGAAGCATCGGGTAGAGAGAGGAGACCAGCAAGGAAAGGAAATTTTTTGAGCGAGAGGCGAATACCATTCCCAAGCGCATGTATGGCAGCTTCGGCATTATTCTGGTCGGGAAACTGGCGTTACAATCAGCACCTACTGTTACTACGGCGGTCGTGTTCTCCCTCGTCCACCTCGTTCTTCTTTCTGGGCCAACATACGGGAAATATACACAGCGTTTGTATATACACGCGCACAATGTTCTGATCCAGACATGAGAGATGGAATGATTTTGTTCGACGGGCCAGATTCTCCGGCTTGGTAATCATATTGAGTAGGCGGGGGGCAGAGCTCGCGACAGAGCCCAGCAACCTGCTCCTGCTGATCAATAGTGGTAGGTCTAGGGACATGGCTGAGGCGCTTCCCGAAATTAGTTTATATATACCAAAGACGCGAAAAGAGTCATAGACGCTCTGGAGTAGGTGAACAAACACACGACATTTGAAGCACGCGAGGCCAATTTTACCCCTTCACCGCAAGGCCCCATGGAGCTGCGCCTGATGTGACGGGGGGGCGGCATCGGTCCACGCTCCCACGGACCGAGTGAGCTATGGCCGCATACGGAAACATCTGTGCGGCTACGCCATGCCCACTGCCCGCTTCCCCGTCGGCTTGCCCTATCGACGACTCGCTTCCATACCCTCGACCGCGCCAAACGTGTCTCGTGCCGCATTCCCCGGCCGCTTTTGCAAGACTGCGCCCAAGGCACCGCCAAACCACCAAACCACCAAACATCGCGGAGCCGGATGACATGCAGCCGCCGCCCGGGCGTTCGCAGAGGGTCCAAGCCCGCTGAGAGTATGGCCGCTGCCGGAGAGGCCAGCGCCAAAGAGAGAGCGGGAGAGAGGGGGGTGTTCGGGCATATTGCTTTTTCTTCCTTCAGCTTCGTCGTTCAGGTCCAGGTCCAGGGCCGGGGATGGATGCGGCTCGACAAAAAAATATGATCATCGTTCCTTGCTGACGTCCTCGCACTCGCATCCCGGTCAGCGAAAGCCCCAGGGCGCGCGCATGGGTCCTACCCTTTTTTCTTTGCCTCGTCTTTGTCGCTTGCGTCGCCCAATCCTGCTGCCGCGGCAGCGTCTTTTTTGGTCCTGCGTGGCGCATTGAATTGAAATAGCGGCCTGGGTTGCTTTGCGCTGAATGTGTGCAGCCAAGGCAAACGACATGCTGCCGCTAGGGCAAAATGCTCGATCTTCGGTACCATGCCAGCCTAAAGCGCCGTAATACGTCCCTCTTTTTTAGGTCGGTGTACGCCCCAGGCAACGGAAATCTGGAGCCCACCCTGCTAGGCGTACGGATGGTCGTGCGCGCACCACTCACGCACCCCTGGCGACACAAGGTGCAACGTATTGGCGCCCTGCCCTGTGTCATAGGACCCCCCATCACGATCCTCCAAATAGCATCTTTTACAAAGCGGTGTGAGCTATCATTGCAAAAAAATTCCACGAGCTCAGTAACAATACGTCATCTGATCGGTAGGTCTTTGGGAGAGACACGTTGCGTGTGGTCCGTCCCAATGTGGGTCAAGGACCAGCATGTGATGCCAGCAAACATTTTTTCTGGTACAGGTACCAAACAATCCAAAAACGCCCCCTGGTCTAAAAGGCCGAAATATCAACAAGGTAAAAAGTAGGTGTGGCTATAGTCAATTGTGGCTAGACATGATGGACCACGACTGACCCACGCCTTGTGCCACGACAGCAAGCTGTAGGTAAGCGAAACGCCTTATGCACGATGCGCGAACGAACCACCAAAATAACTGAGCAATCGGCTGAATTCTAGGCGGCTGCGAGTCCGAGCACATACGTAACGTCGCCAAAGTAGCCGAATACGCCTGGTGATCCGTTCGGTTGGCGGGTGCGAGCGGTGGCACCACAGTCCGTCACACACACAGCCAAACGATGGTATAGAAAAACAGGGAAAAATAAGCCCGGAGATTGATTCAACAAGGTAATCCGCGCGACCTGTAGATTCAATGACTGTGGGCACAGCTGAGACACTGAAGCGTGGGGCACACGCACGATAGACTTTTTGTTGACCGGAAACTCATGACAGATGCTATACGGCTGTGCCGGGACGCGTCTTTGTTGAAAATTTTTTTACTTGTCATTGGGCCCGCCTCCCAATCATATGTAAGATGGGAAAAAAAGGCCATGGACTATTGCCTTTTTCAAACGTCAGCTTCGGGCATCAAAGGAAGATAACAGGACCGCCACTCGAGTATTACTCGTCAGTACAGATGTACGGTATACATACTAGATCCTAGGATGCATGACTTGGGAGGAAGGGTGTCCTGTGTCGTGATATCATGAAGGGATGGTTTGTTGGGAAGCCGGCACTTGAGGGGTGGTGTGGTCGGCGTCCTAGCAGTGGTCTCGGGGTCTGTTCTGTGTAAGGATAGCTCGGCAGGGGCCCAGTCAAGAGGAGAGGTCCCAAAAGGGCATGGGCATGATCAGACTCGTCGTTGTGCGAGTCAAAGGCAGTGTCGCGTAGAAGACGTTTGACATGCACTAGCTACGGGTACTGAGCGCCCTTGCCGGGCTGCTAGCGCCCGAAGCGACTGGCTGCGGGGATGGCCACGGGAGTCTTCCCCGCGATCTTGTGCCACGATCGACTAGTAAGACACCCTGCACCCAAATGCCATGACTCCCCACCAGTGCAAGCGACTCGACTTCCCCACGTCTCTTGGCTAGCGCTCGACACAAGTAGCCCTGCCCTACTATCCTGGACACACGTGCCCGCGATGCACACCGGGAAGCGCACTTGAGGGGTACTTGTCGAGTCCTAGTCTGAGTAAGACGGCAACGGCAGCGGCACTAATAAAACTACCATGGTCGACCGAACCAGTGTGGTGCCGAGCCATGTTGGCCATAACGTGCTTCCGAACACTGTATGAACTCACCACGCTCCACGCGTCTATCCAGGTCGACTGTAACTGGTCACTGATGTCCGTATAGCCTCTGTTTAGTCGACTTCTTCGATTTGCCAGCCAAACCCCCGCACGCATAGCCATCGAAGATGCTCGTGTCCAGTTGCAGAAGACCCATATCCATCTGCTGTCAGATATCTTGGCCTTGCGAAACACCCTTCTCAATACCCTCGATGACGCAACCTGCAGAGCGCTAGGGAAGAGAGAAGAGGTTTACATGGCCATCGTCGCTCCAGGCGGTTACGAATACACCGTAGCAATGCTGGCGGTACTAGCGCTTGGAGCGGCCGCAGTGCCAATGACGCCAGCCGTGCCTGTAAGTGAGGCAGCATACTTTATCCAAAAATCAAGATCAGCGCTGGTTCTTGCGAGTGCTGAGAACATTGACAAATGCCGTCTTCTTGCAGGACGCATCTGTTCTACGACTAACCCACAGTTTCGGGTCGTCGAAATAGGACCGTTCGTCTCGTCCCCCGCCCTTGGCGCTGAGGAAATCATCATATCATCGGATCGGGCCTTGGAGGAGAACGCGCCGGCAGTGGTGATCTTCACAAGTGGCACCACGGGCCCACCCAAGGGTGCAGTGATGCGGAGATCGTACGTCTTTGACTGTGCGTTGTCCATCGCTGACCACTATCATTTGACTGAAGACGACGTCATACTGCACCTCCTTCCAGTACATCATGCCACGGGGGTCGGTATAAATTTTTTTCCATTCCTCGTTGCTGGAAGCCGAATAGAGTTCCGTAGTGGAGGTTTCGACGAGGCCTGGACGTGGAAGCGCTGGAAGGAGGGGGCAGCCCACTCTTCCAGGCGAATTACGTTCTTTTCGGCCGTTCCAACTATATGGATGCGGCTTAGACGGTTTTATCAAATTCATCTGCGTAAACTCCCTGCCCATGAACTAGCTACGTACGTTGCTGGCGCACGGCAATTCCGCGCCTGTTTGTGTGGGACGTCGGCGTTACCTCAGCCGCTGAACGACTTTTGGACAGACCTCTTGCAGCAGAATATCCTGCAGAGATACGGAGCGACTGAATTTGGAGCAATCTTCAGGATGCGTCTTGGAGATCAAAATACGCCCAAGGGTTCTGTCGGTGAACTTGAGAGCGGCGTAGATGTGAAGCTGTCTGAGGGAAATGCAGGAGAGATACTCGTCAAGAGCCCGGTATGCCCCGTGCAACCTTACTGAAAGATGGTTCTAACCAAACACAGCATATGTTTATGAAATACCTACATGACCCTGAAGGCACAGCCACTGCGCATGATAAAGATGGGTACTTCCGAACCGGCGACCTTGCACGAAAGGAAGGGAAGTATTACTTCATTCTCGGTCGAGCGTCCCTGGACATCATCAAGTCGGGAGGGTACAAAATATCAGCACTAGATGTCGAGAGAGAGCTGCTCGGCTTGCCGTACGTCGCCGAAGCCATGGTTGTCGGCGTTGCAGACGAAGAATTCGGGCAACGTGTGGCAGCCCTACTCTCGTTACAAGAAGAAGAAGACACGACAACAGATTTTCCAGGCAAGCGATCTAACACGGGAAATTCTTTAACTATTGATAAACTACGACGGGATCTCCGCGGAAGACTTGCCGGTTACAAACTGCCAACACTGTTGCGAATTGTAAAGGGTGAGCTGCCAAAAACTGTCACGGGAAAAGTGCAGAAGAAGATCCTTGGGCCGCAGTACTTCCCAAAGGTATGGCACAGCTCCCTGGGCATACAGAAATGGTTACCGGATATCGGAGGACAGTCAGCGAAGCTGTGACTAAACTGACCCCTGTGGTGACAAACCCAATATCTTCATCACGGTAGATCAGGGTTGCACCAATGATGCGATCACGGTCATATAATGACCGAGTCCCCAGCAGCACAGCATGGTCTGAATGCCGGTGAGTGATTCAAATCGATGTGCGTTTTTAGGCTGAAGTTAATATAGTATGATGTGTTCGCAAGCAATTACTCAGTTCAGCAGCCAGCGGCTATGTCGTCGTATATGGTTGTCAGCATGCTTGACGCCCCGCCCCCATCTCCGTATTCATTTATTCCCGGGCACACCCGCACATCCGCGACGCAGGTGATTCTTGGCAGCTGAAATAATCCCTATAACTACCGCGCACGTTGTAACACTTGATCATGGCTTTTTGCTTCCCGTTCGATGTAACTCTGACCGGCACATGAAGCGTCATTTGGGGCTAACCTTCGTCCCAGAACCCCGACAACATATGGCATGATTCAAAATCCAGATCCGGCTAGGAGATCAAAGAAACCTCTTGGTACACTGAGCGATGTGTGACTCGGCAACCAGCGGCATAGTCAGCTTATACTTTTGTCACCGGAAGATGACCAATTCAGTGGTTCAGTTGTTTGGTATTGGATACTTTTGCTAAAATGGTGAGAGCCCGAAAGCCCATGCCGAGCCCTGCAATATGAATACATTGAGATTTAACTTTTATCCGGAATTACTAGCGTCGCTTACCTCTTACGTGCTATGGTTGTGTTACTAATCGAAAAGATAACTCGGGAATGTCGGTGCTGCATAGTTGCCGGGCTGTCCGAAAGTAGTTGGCATGGCAATTTCACACCACGAGAGATTGGTAAGAGACCCAGATGTCTGGTAACGAATGCCGGAGATTTTTTTTTGCGGAGTTAAGGCGAGAACATCCCGAAGCATTCTTGGTCGTGGTAGCGGGGTCCCTTACTAAGCAGATAGTCTGGACTTCCGAAGCTACTTACTCACACAACCTTGGCTTGGTTTCAAGAGAAGGGTTGATTAGACTCATCTACATACAAGACATGGTAAATCTTGGTACTGCCACAAGAGATGCAGAAGATGATTTGTAAAAAGCGGAGTCATTAGGTGAGCGAATCCCGGGGGAAACAGCAAAAGTAATGAGCTTCGGTATCGAGTGCTGGACATATTCGAGAGGATAACATACAACAGCATTACAGTCTGAAAGACGTTAGCCATCAAGGCATTGCTTCATGTCTAAGACGACCCAGATCTTAAGAGAGTGTCTGTTTGCCCAATACGTACCCGCGTTCGCTGAACCACAATCACTTTACATGGATATGCTGGACAAAGTGGGCCTAGTGAATGGAAAAGGGAAAGACGTCGATGATAAAAGAGTTGACGTTTGCCCAAAACCTGTACCTCGGGAAAACTCGGCGATCGGGATCCTTCCGGATATAAACGTAGACGGCGAGTAATTCCGCCCCAGAATATCGTCATCGTTATTCCTAAGGCATGAAGTGCGGAAAGTTCCCGGGACTCCAAAACGGGTTGTACCTCATACAATTCATAGCACCATTTACCCACGCCCTTTTTGGCCTTTTATGATTACGAGTAATGATTCAAGAGACAAAAGAGACGACATGCGTAGAGAATAGCTTTCATTATAACACTTTAGCAGTGTTATGATGTTTTGAAGTTGCGCATTTTCTTGCTCGTTATCGGTTTTGATAGGGTGGCGGCGTGCGTGGAGTCCCGGGAGTTTTGTCCACCGGGCACATGGTAATGCCGGGAGGCGAGTCTACGCAATGTATCTCTCAAGCCTGATGATTGGCTCTCAATGCGGCGAGACGGCCAGATTCAGGCTTGTATTCTTGCCATGATCTATGGGTACGGCAGGGCAGATTACCCCACCCAATGCCTAGAAGATTGAGATTTAAGAACTGGGTACCCCACTACAATCCCTCAAGAATCCTCAATCACGACATCATCCCGTTTAACCCTTTTTAAGAATACCCCAATTCGAGAATCAAAATGTCCTGCGACAACTGCAAGAGCGGCTTCAAGTGGAACGGCCAAACCGTTGGCAAGGAAACTAAGCTCAACAACGCCAATGCCTACGTAACCGGCGACAACAAAGACGCCGCTATTCTTATCATAACCGACCTTTTCGGCTGGACACTTCCGAACGTCCGCTTAATCGCAGACCACTACGCACAAGAAGCCAATGCAACCGTCTACGTACCCGACCTGTAAGAAGCCATCGCAACCCACGCATAGTGCGCGCGCCCCAAATCTAACCATGGTTCCACAAACAGTTTTGACGGCGAAGTCGTAGACCCTGACGCGCTGTCCGACCCAGAAAAGCAAAAGAACTTCGACATTGGCGCCTTCCTCGGCCGCCACAACAAGGAAGTCCGCTTCCCCGAAATCAAGGGCCACGCGCAAACCCTCAAGTCGCAATACAAGAAAGTCGCAGCTATTGGCTTCTGCTACGGCGGCTGGGCGGCCTTTAAGCTTGCTGCCGACCCTGCGCTCGTCGACGCCATCGCCACTGCGCATCCCTCGTTGCTCGAGAAGTCGGAAATTGAGAGTGTTAAAGTGCCAGTGCAGATTCTCAGCCCCGAAAACGACTTTGCGTACACGGCAGAGCTGAAGCAGGCTACGTTTGATATTCTGCCTAAGACGGGTGTGCAGTGGGAGTATATTTACTTCCCAGGCTTGACGCACGGATTTGCGGTGAGAGGAAACCCTAATGATGCGGCGCAGAAGGCGGGGTTGGAGCGGGCGAAGAGGAGTGCGGTTAACTTCTTCAAGGAGTTTTTGCACTAGAGGGGTTAGTGGGCGTGTAGTTGGTGGTATAGGTAATGAATATATGGAAATCACTTCTGCCTTGCTTCTTACTGTGTTGTTATGAGATACTTGCGGTGTTTTGACTGGAGATGACATGGTTCGTGCTACTTGCAGGGTATTGTGATGGGATAAGGAAAAACCGTACCTGTTATTTACAGTGAAGGTAAGTCTCCTCCACCAGCCATGCCCAAGTCTTTAGTGCAGACATCGAGACACATATCGCTAATCAGGACAAAGATCAAGTACTCAAGGTAAATCATAGAAACAAGTCCTATTTGCAAGCCACTGCTGCGTCGACAATACCCGCATCGACCCAAGCCAAAGGATAATCTGGTATCATAACATATGTACAAAACGAAAAGTCATCGTGTGTGTGCCTATTACCAGCACACACTAACCCCCCCCCTATCGACTCACTCCCTGCTAACCAAACGAGCAAACCTCGACCTCGTCTCCCACCCCCAAGCCGCCACACTGCGCTTCGCCATGGCGGCAACGCTCTTGGCATAATCACTCGTACCACGAGTCGGGTCCGCATCCTTTGGCTTACACGCCGACTTAGCCAGCCTGCCCTTTACAGACAGGAAATGATACTTCTCCTTTGTCGTCGCCACCATACTCTCCGCGGCCTCAGTCGTCCACCCATTGATGAAGTCGCCATGCGAGCAAAACGCATTACCGCACGCGAGCTTGACGGGCGCAGTGCCCGACCAGCCGTTCGGCAGCGCTTTACGTAAATCGTAGCGGATCGAGAAGCGCAACTGGGGCATCGACTTCATGCCCTTGGGACACCAGTTTGGCGTCCCGTTTGCGCGGTCTTTGTAGCCTGTCTCAAGCGTCTCGGTGTTGACGCACTGCGGGAAGTAGAGAAGTTGCTGGAGGTGCGTAGAGCAGGATTTGCTGGGGAACCCGTTTGCATCTGCTGGAACGGGATCGTCGCCTTCGCAGAACCATTCTGACTTTGCGTTTGGGTCCATGGCGGCTTTGTCTTTTGCTTCGGCTTTTCCCGCCACCATTTGCACGTTTTGGGGAATGGCGATTTCGGCGGGTGTCTCGCCGAGGTTGTAGTAGGCGCTGAAGCGCGAGACGGGGACGGGAAGGTAGGATTTGCCATTGTCAGGGGTGTAGAGGACGGTGGGCACCCAGTAGACACTTAGGTCGTCTGCGACTTCGGCATTTGTGCAGCCTTTTTGGAGCTCGGCGCTTGTTTTGGTGGTGGCGGTTACGGCGTCGGAGCCGTAGAAGGAATGGAGGTGGGATTTGTCGAAGGAGCCCGGGAAGACAATGGGGTCGATGTTTTTTTGCATAAAGGGTGAGGGGAGGTTGACTTGGGTGTAGGCGCTTGCGTAGTGGGCAAGCAAGCTTGCGGTGAGGACGGTGTAAAGAGACATGCCTGTGTCTTGGAGGAATGAATGTAATTGGCACAGCCTTTAGAAGAGAAAAAACGAACGGAAAGAAAGTTTTCGGGTTGGAAAACGAATGAAGCGTGATGAAGGGAAAACAATCACGTAGACTATGTCGCGCCCCTTCGTCCTACTTATGCCTAAGGCTGCGACAAAACACTTCGTCCCACACACGGGAACATCTCTCCTTAGTTTCTCTGTTAAGTTTCCAATACCCCAGGTGTTAGAAATCCACCGTTGCTCTCTTTTCCCAACGCAGAGTGTTCGCCGTGAATGCCCAGGGCAAATGTGGACCTCAAGGAGCAGAGCATGAACGACGAGGAGATGGCACCGGAGCACTAGTATGCACGCGATGGAGACTATTGGCTGTATGTGCCTGCCAAACACTAGCGCCCGCCTCGTTTCCGCCCTCGGTACCTGGTTTCGAAACACGAGCTAAACTTCGCATCACATCGTTTCGTCCGAAATCCTACCGGTCGTCAGGCATTGGAGACTGTTGCGGTGTTGACGGCGGTTGAGCTAGTGAGGTTGCAGACGTAAGTACCGACAAGGACGTGCTGAGTAGTGACAGACCAATTACCTAAAAAGTGAGGCACGCCAATAAAGGGAAACTTCCAGGGCGGTCAGTCGAGCTACTTGCGGTTCAATAGTCAAGTCAGCACTGTTCAAGTCGGAGATTCGCCTCCAGCGGCAGACGGACTCAAAGTGCTTTCGAATGCCAAGGTATTGGAGGATTCGGGTACCGTCCGTGCTCACCCAATGCAACAGTTCAGCCAATGCAACACCAGCCGCCCTATCAAAATATCCACCCATCATTTTCAACACGTGATATCTCCACCACCATGACAGCTATCGAAGAAGCGATTGCAGCAATTGATTCGCAAGATGCAGAAGGTCAACTTTCATATCGCGCAGCTGCGAAAAAGTTTGGTGTTAAGCTTACAACATTAACGCGGCGGCACCAAAACAAAACACAGTCGCGAACGGCAGCTGCAAAAAAACGCCAATTACTCACTCCACCATAAGAATCTGAGCTCGTGAAATATATAGAAAAACTCTTAGAACGCGGCCTACCACCTTCCCGAGCTATAGTAAAAAATTATGTGGCGGTTATTGCAGCATGGGAGCCCTCCGACAGCTGGGTTACTCGGTTTTTGTCACGTCACCACGACAAAATATTCACCAAAAAATCCACCAGTATCGACCACGACCGTCATCTAGCTGACGATCAAGCCAACTATCAATCATATTTCGATCTCCTTCATGCTAAGCTCGATCAATATAACGTCGCGCCACATAATATCTACAATATGGACGAGAAGGGCTTCTTACTTAGCCGTATCTCACCATCAAAAAGGATCTTTTCGAGGGAGCTTTGGGACAGAAAGAAAGTGCGGCAATCACTCCAAGATGGGAGTAGGGATTGGACAACGATTATTAGCTGTATTTGCGCTGATAGGAGCTCGGTAGACCCTACGATAATCTATGAGGGAGCAGCTGGGCTTCATACTGAATGGCTGCGGGACCTGGAGGTCGGAAAACACCAGGTTTTTTGCTGCAGCAGCCTATCTGGATGGAGTAACAATGAGCTCGCGCTGGCTTGGGTTGAACAGGTGTTCGATCGGCTCACGAAGGAGAAAGCAAAACGCGACTATAGGATGCTAATCGTTGATGGGCACGGCACTCACCTTACGCCTTCATTTATCGATTATTGCTATGCCCATCGAATAATCCTCGCGGTGTTGCCGCCTCACGCCACTCACAGCCTCCAGCCACTCGACGTTGGTGTATACTCACCTCTGGCGGCCGCGTATAGCTCCCAGCTCACTAATCTGATCCACGGCAATCAAGGTTTGATCAATATGCAGAAAAGTGATTTCCTACGCTTATTTTGGGCGGCATATACATCTACTTTCACAACTGATAATATATTGGCCAGTTTTCGAGCTACTGGGATCCATCCGCGCAATCCCGACGTCGTGATAAAACGCTTCAAAACACCACCACCGCGAGACGATACGGATACATGGATTGGAGAGGCAGGTGATGGAGATAGCTGGAGGGATCTGTCAAAATTATTTGACGCTGCTGTGTCGGATACATCGAAAAATGCAGCCAAACAGCTTAAACAGGCGCTGCATTCATTACAGGTCCAAAACGAGCTTTTGCACCATGAAATCGATGAACTGCGGGGCAGTATTACTACCAAAAAACACCGCAAAACGGATAGAAAGCTTCTAGATCTGCAGCAGCACGAAGAGTATCATAGCTCTGCGGTGATATGGAGCCCCCGATCAGTGAGGGAGGCCAGAGCCCGCGAGGCAGCAGAACAACAGCAAGAGCATAAAAAAAAACTCCAAAAAAAACACCAGAGGGAGGAGCGAGCTGCCGCAGCTACATATAAAAAACAGATGGCACAAGCTGCTCGTGAGCATCGTCAGATGGCTAAAGTGGTGCGGGAGGAGCAGCGCGCTGCGAAGGCTGCAGAACTCGCTGCCGCGCGCGCCGAAAAAGCACGACACCGCGCTGCTACAACCTTACAAAAATCTCGCGATAGGCAAAGTATAGCTAAACGAAAAGCTTCATCAATTCAGAATACAAAAAAACTAAAGCGGCGTCGTGTTGTAGAGGCTGAAAGTGGTGGTGGTGATGCATCACCAGCCGCCAAGCCTCCCACCAAAACCACCACCCGCGGCCGCAGTGTGCGGTTGCCCAGCAAATTTCAATAGATAGATATCAAATATACGATCGTACGAGTACTCCACCAAAAAATTCCGCGATAATAACGTTTTGGTGGTGGTCAAAAGCTTCATTTTTTGGTGGGCTCGCATTTTGGTGGGGTGTTGCATTGGCTGAACTGTTGCATTGGGTGAGCACGGACGGTACCTCAGCCACGAAATCACAATCGCACGAAAACAATTGTTCACGGGCGCATTGACATCCAGATCATCGGATCCTGCGTATGTTTCATGCAAGAGTTTCTTTATCCACTAACCTATTCTAGAGCGCCACACAGATCGTGCTCGTCTAGAACTGCCATTTTGGCCTTTTGAGGAGCTGCTCTACTTCAAGATGTTTTAGCGTGACGGTGCTCCGAGGTATGTTTTAGGGGATCGTAAATCTCCCATGTAGTCAAGCAGGTAGCAATGCTGACTAACGCTAGAGGATGCACAAGTTTTTTTATGAACAGCACAAATGGAAACACTGGAATGGCACCCAGAAGACTTTCTTTTGATTATTTCTGGTGTTGATGAATGCTGGTAGATTACTGCGCCTTACGGTGAATCTCGATAACTATACAAGAGCTCGTGGTTTTTAAACATCTAAAGTACAACACATTACTCAAATCACAGAATGAACTACTTATCAGCCGCATCTAAAGGCTTGTTCTGACCATATTCCAACGTCTTCTCTCTCTTCTTCGCATCCGACTCATTTGGATCATGCTTCATGTGGTCCTGGCTCTCAGTCCCCTCCTCCGACGCTCCTACACGATCATTTTCTGGGTGGCTAACTGGGTTCTGTATCGATACGTGGTCGCTATCATTCTTGTCTGTCTGCCCAATCGAGGCGCTGTGGTTGATGGACTGGCTCTCAGCGCTGCTCGCCTGCGGGTTGGATACATTGGAGGATTGGCCAGGCACTGCGCTGCTGGCATATGTACGAGAAACAATTGGTGGCAAAGCTTGGATTGAAGTGTTAGAAAGTATTTTGGTGACAAAATGCTCGAGATACATACCCTGGCCTCGTTGTTGAAGGGCGCGACTCGCAATGGGCGCTGAGCGCGAAAAGCTTTTCAAGATTCCTGACATTATGTTTTGATTTGTATGAGTTCTCTGGGAAATTGGATGTACTTTTTTTCTGGATACTCGAAGTTCTTAAAGTATGGGTGTATGTCGGGCCCGAGCTTGACGTGCTGGTGATGTTCCAGGAACATCATCATTAAACCGCACAACCGAGCGCGAGACACTACGAATAATCTGGACTGCGTATTTGACAGCAGCTTGCCTGGTGATTTACATAATCCTAAAAACCTTTATTTGAAAAGCAGCGCACACTATACCATGCCCGTGGATTGGTCAACCAAGATTCTTGGTGCATCCTCAGCTTCGGAAGGTCAAACTCCTATCGCAATATCGAACCGTTATCCAGACACTCCACCCAGCTTTATCAATCAATAACAGACCGAAACATTTAAAATCTCTTCATTTTTAGTATTGGTTTCTACGAATACGATCCTACCATGCTTATTGTAGCTGTTATCGAAATCCCAGAACTCAAGCAGCGTCTACTTACCGAAGCTAATAAAGCTCGCACAGCATTGCGGACACCCCGGAATGCTCCTTCGGAACGGGGGCAGCATGGAGATTCCATGTCGTGTCTTATGGGCTCACACCAAATACCTGAGAGTGGAAATATTTTGAAAACTACTCATTATGATCCCGTTAGAGATCTTATCTCGTGAAACGCCCTAAATTACTTCGGTCAGCCAATATTCCGGAGAAAAGAAATCTTAATTACCAATTCATGGTAACCTCGAGTACAGCAAATCCATCTTGAATGAAAGTACACCCTTTGTGGTATTACTCCATTCACTTCTACTATGTCCATTCCCATGAAAGTAACGATGGGAAGGCAGTCGCCAGCCCACTTCAAAGGCATTGTAGACGTAGGGCCCCCACTCACAATTCGATACACGAACGTTCTTCAGCAACTTAAAAGAGCACTCCGTGCACTAATAATGGATCTGGGGTTGTGTGTGTGCACAACTCTCTCCAACCTCAATGGCTCTTCACCAAGAACTTGATCCACAGCTCATTATAAAACGTTCCTCTCTATCAAAACATCCCTCCATCTATTCAGGATTGGGATTAAGCTCGTTATTTCTCTAAATTTTACCATTCCAATACACCCAATACCTCTCCAACAGAAGCTACGGTCAGCACTTGATTACATTCGGACTTAACACAACCCTACATCAATACCATGAACTCCGGTCGTCCTTTCAACTACGCAACTCCCTACTCGGGTCCTTTCTATCATGCGATTCCCGGCTCTGATAGTAGGGTCTATCTGAACAATAAACTCACGAGGGAAGAGATCGATAAGGCAGTCCAGGTGACCCGCCAGTCTCAAGTGCGTTTCGGATCCCTGGGGAAAGACAGCAATGGCGAGCAGATGAAGAGCAATCTTCTGCTACGCCTTCCGCCTGAGATCCGCAATCGCATCGCCGAGTACGCGCTAGATTTGGGTGATGACCCTGCAGAAAAACAGTTCATTGTCTGTCCTCCAAGTTTACAAAAACCTCTCTGCGAGGGCTTAAGTATACTTTCTTTGTGTAAGCAGATCAGCGCCGAGACGCGCTCCATGCTCGAAGCCCGCGCTACAGCCTACATCCCCATCATAGCTGACATGAATTTCTGCAAATTGGTTTCCGACATCAATGAAAAAGGCAACGTATCACTGTCAGAGATACCGAGTACCGTCTTTGCTGGCCTTACATCCTTCACGCATGCGCATCTCCATCTTCATGTCAACTACCATTCCTCCCCCTTCCGCCGGGACCTGAGGCGTAATCTTAGTCAGGATATCGCTCATATCTATGGTGTATTGAAACAAGCACTTAGGATCTGGGGAGCTGCATCTGAGCAAAATTTTGCTCATCTCAAGGAGCATGGGTTGAAGCGAAAGGCAGTTTTGCACCTCGATCACCTTTTCTCTGACTGGCGGGGCATGGTCAAGTTAAACAAAGAAACCAACATGCATCAAATTCTCAAAATCATGAATTCTGATACGACCACTGAGTGGGAGGTACACTATTACGTACCCGTTCGAGGCACACGCGCAGATGACCATACAGAGAACTGGCGTGCACAAATTTTGGTATGTGAGTTGAATCTCGAGAAAATTTTCTTTAAGCCATTTCCTAGCATCAAGCTGGTGCCAGAAGTCTACGGCAATCTGCAGGATAGGTTTAAAAACGCGGAATTCTACACGGAGCGCATCTTGCCAAGCAGCACGTTGTGGCCGTCTTGGCCCGAGGATGCTCCTTGGAGGATGTGTCCCCGGGTGAGGTCAGACGAGTTTGAGCCAATTCTAGATAGACGTACATGAATGTGAATTCTGCTGAAGCGGCTGAGTGCAAAATAGTAACTAAGTATTTCGCGTATTCCGTAACCCAATCAATCATATATACATATATATATATATATATGTACAAAAGTGCCCCTACTTCATGAAAGGATATTTACAAATAATCAACATCCACCCAATTCTCCCTCTCAAACCCATTCCCAAACAAATCCGACGCGGTAACCGGCGCAGTCACTTGTGAACTCCAGCTCACCCTCGCCGACGTATTCGCTCCAGGCCCGAAATTCTGATACTCCTGGAAAGTAACATTATCGGTACTCTGCACATTGTCCCACTGCGACCAGCCCCGCGGCGCAACAACATCACCAAGGTAACTCTGCTGGAAAAGAACCCTGCTAAACGGTCTCCAGGGGCGTCCTAGATCCGTTGAGCCCGGACCGCTGGACCCAGTGACATTGACCTTGTTGAAGACGTAGAAACTCTTGTTTTCCTCGGAGTCGCGGCCGTTGGCGACGATGAAGCCGGTGCCAATGGTTTCGATGTCTAGTTTGTTGAAAAACGCCACGGCGCGGAGTCCGAAGATGAAATCCACGGCGCCGTTTACGAAGGATTTGGCGTAGATTTGGCGGCCTTCGTTTGCGTAGATGGTGTCTTGGTAGCCGGTGAAGCTGCAGCCGTAGAAGCCTTGGTTTGTGTTCTGGGCGCTGAGCGCAAGGGCTTGGGAGCCGGCGCCAAAGGTGTTGGCAATGTTGAGGTTGTAGATTTTTACGTTGGAGGTCCAGAGGCGGAGGGTTGATGTTGCGTCATTGTTGGCTAGACCGGGGGTTTTGCGCGAGAGGTTGTAGGTGAGGGTGACTTGGTTCCTCTTGTACGTAGTGGAGTCATTGGTGTAGCCCTGGATGGTAAGGGGGCTTGCGAGTCGGCGTATGTAGACTTGCTCGGTATATGTGCCGGGGAAGATGAAGATCTTTTGAGCGTCCGTCTTGTTGTGGAGTCCTGCTACGGCGGCACTGATGTTGAGGTAGCTGTTCGGATATGTGCCTGAGGCATCGACGACTAAGGCTCCCTGGTCCGGTTTCGTGCGCACCTGTTTGTCGGCGGAAACGACTCCGAGGACGCAGACTAGGACTGCTGACAAGGAAATAAGTGACCTCATAATGTTGGATCAGTGATTATCTGCAGGCACGGCGATATTCTAGAAGGCAGGGCCGACATATACTTATACTATAATATTACAGTCTGGCCTAGATTTGGAAACAGCACTAGGTTGGAATTTACAGTTCATCCGTTCTGACTACGCTTGGGAGCTGGGTCTCGGCCGGATTATTACAGTAAGAATAGCCTACGCATGAACTTCGATGTTGAGTATGGTGGCGTGGCTAAATCAACAAGGCCGACGGATGATTGGTGGCACAAGGGGTTCCGCTCCGTCTTCGGGAAAATCTGGGGAAATCTCATCGCTAAATCGCCGAAGCAACCATATCCGGAAAAGCGCGGACGGCAATTATGGGGGATGTGTCCATTCTTAGGTCGTTTACTACTGTGTAGAGCAGTACATGTCAGACCAAAGATGTCATTGTTGACAGGCAACGCGTCTTCCTATATTGACACCAAAAGATACTTCGCCGTTTTTCTGGGCAAGCGTATACGTACACAACCTCGTTAAATCTGACACTTCCTAGTCATGGATTTGAGCGAACCGTGTCCTGCCGAGCAATTGCCTAATTTCTTCCCCTCTTGGCTTGCTCAATTTCCACAATCAATTTTCACTCCGTCTCTGTCCGAGATTCTAAGAGACCGGAGGCATTCACTTCATCGCCCAATTCCCAACATCATCATATCTTTCACATGATCCGACCGATATTCTTCTCTGTAATCACTAACGGATGTCGAAACACAAGCCACCCCTGCAATCTAACTTGTATAACACGACTCATATAGGGAGACCGCAGCCTGACTCCAAGAGTCCGATTAGGCTGGGTGCGTAATACACTAACGGAGGGTTTGGCCATCGCCTCCGTCTTCACTTTTACCTTCACCTTCACCACCGTTTGCACAACAACGGGTGCTTGGCTGTCCAAAACAATGACGCACCACCTATAACCCCGTTTTCTATGAGCTTCTCACCCCTTATTGCGCACACCATTTGTCAATGTCAAGTAAAACCTCAACTGCATCAAGTCTGTTAGGCAACGCCGTCCGACAAGCAAGGTCCTCGTCTTCTTTTCCATCCAACAATCTTCCTCCATTTAACGTCAGAAAATAAAAACAATAAAAAATGCAGTCGCGCCATCTCCCCATAAACTCTATTCTGTTCCATGATTACCATGGGCCTGCTTCAAACGCGCCTGCAAGCTCAAACCGCCCCCAGAGCGCAACTCTGGTTAATCTGCAGGATGCGTCCGATTTAAGCATTACGGCGCTGCCCCAGCCACCTACCGTCACTATCACGACCACAAGGGATGAGCCTTCGAGAGAACCATTGTGGAAACGACTGCGTGCAGCTATGAGTGGGTGGTTGTGTTTTGGGAAAGAAAATGGAAAGAGACGGAAACGTGAGACAGAGGAGGATGCGGAAGTCAAGTACGAGTGAACTTAGGGATGGTGAGGCACATGGGAGGGGCAAAATTGTTGCCGCTAATAGACGGAGTAAGCATGGTCGATAATATATGTACAACAACGAGCGTAATGGGTGGATAATGCATTGGGAAAGGGAGTTAATATGGGAAAAGAGGTAATTTCGGATGGCAAGAAGGTTTAGGGAGAAGGCGTGACGAGAGACGAAAAAATCTTTTTTTTTCGCTTTATGAATGGCCAGCTATGACGATAGAAGAAGATACAACGAACTTGCATAACTACGTTTACAAAAAAGATTGGTCTTTAAACATGACATGTCCCCATAGTCCCGAGCACTTAGTGCTGGTTCGAAGACGCAATAGTAGTAGTTGTAGACTCAACAGCCCAACTATTTGGCGCACGCCACCACTGGTCCTTTGTCTTCCCATTTCTTGAGCTTCCACTCGAGAAGAAACCAGGTCGCTCGGGCTTCTCGATTTTGACCTCTACATCCTTCATCTTCATGATTCCTGAAGACTCCACATCGAGAGTAGCGGAATCGTTGCTTTTGTAACCACTCTTGTACTTGTTGCGGTAGGCATCGCCACTGCTGACAATCTTGTCGAACTTGCCCTGCAGACTGGGGAAGGTATACAGGATGAGTGCCTTGATGTTGGGTGCGCATGCGACAATGACAGCAAGGTGGTTTTCGACGACGGAGCAAATCATCATCGAAGCGAAGCGGAATGGGAAGTCTGGGTTCTTGACCTGCTGGTCCGTGAAGTAGACACGTGCAGCGCTTGCTCCTAGGACCAGGCCTCCGAGAGCAAAGAGGCAGTTGACGGCAACGCGGTGGGAGCGGCGTAGATGGACGTTCCAGGTAAAGATGACTGGCATGATGTATAGGACGACGTCGTTCAAGAGCATGAAGATCGAGTTGTAATAGCCGAAAGCGTCATTGTCGATGCAGAATCCTTCGATCTCATTGTTCCAGAACTTCTGGACGGGAAGGCATTGGAAGATACCAATGATAACACATGAAAAACCAAACGTGAAAGCCATGACGTGCATCACATATATGAATATGCGATGCGAGTGTTCGAAAGTGAGCTCCGAGTAAAAGCAAAGTAATGAATGCTTTACAGCCCAGTTACACATGAAGTAGAAGAACAACGATGCCATGACCATCTTTTGCATATACCGTTAGCAGAAGATATCGACAGTGGAGGCTGTGGAGGCGAACCTTAAGAAAGGGAGTGATATTCTCAGGTGGAATTTCTTCGAGGGTCAGGCCTCCACCAATATGCGTGCTGGCCATCTGCACTATCGAGAGCATGATGGCACAGAACGCTGCATATGCAGCGAGAGCTTGCAATCGTCAGTAAACCTGATCAAGCCATGTCTGCGGTCAACCTACCATCGTGCCAGCTGAAGCTGCTCACCATCCGAAACTTTCTCCCAACACGACAACTGATAGCCAACAAAGTGAGCAAGATCAACGTTATGTTGACGCCGATTATGGCGGGCTTCAGGTTGTCTGACATGGCTATTGATGGAGCAGAGTGTCAAGAGGTTGATGACCATGGATCGCAGCCCCCGGCGCGCTGCTTGGTGTTTATATGCACTTTTGTGGATCTTGCAAATCGCATGGCTTCTGATATGCCTGTCCGGGCATGTTTATCAAGGCACGGGCTGCGGATAGAAGCGTGGCTGCCCCGTGTTGGCGCCGCTGTCACATACCGCACGGCACGGTAGTGTGAAGGGTCAGTTTGAGGGGACTAACGTGAACGAGGGCCTGGTGCAATGTGGAGTGGCGCCTATAGTGTGATGGCGTAGGTCCCGAGACGAGGAAAAGCAGTCAAATGGATGGTGTAGGTCGGTTGGCTGGTAAACGTTTTGTGAGGGTTAGCCTGTATCCCGTCCCCGTGGGTGGTTAGCGTATTACGCTCAACGGTGTTACTTTTCTGACGAAGCGGATCCCAGCCTCCGCGGGCTTTGAGGCATCAAAACAAAGAGTTTCCATCTCCAGAAAAATTCCTTCGATACAACTGGAGTATGACAATTACTTGACATCGCCACTGTCAAGCCGAGTAATAGGACTATAAGTAGCGCCATAGGCTACTGGAGAAAGAGTGTGATTGAATGTTGGATGCCTTTCAGGTGGACTTGTACAGGCTTGCACTTTGCTTTTTGGTCATCTTCTCCGCGCCATACTTTTGGTTTATTTTTTCGCGATCCGAGGCCTCAGGCAGTCCCTTTTTTCGTGGCAGTGACTATTATCGATACTCTTGCCGTCATATGCGAAATCGCCGCCGCCACCTGCGCACAAGGTACTCGATTAGGATTAAGCCCTCACTCTCAGCAGATATCAGGGCTGTTTCAGGATCGACGTGAACGGCTTGGGGAGCACTAGAATAGTCCGATGATCGAGTGTTGCTACCAGCGGCAAAACGGTAGAGGGCGCT